ATTTTTTACAGTAAAAAGGCATTACTTTAAATTAAAAATACCTTCATTCCAGGCATTTGGACCCACTCAACAGCAGTTCCAGTAGCCTTTGAAAGAAACTCTGTTAAAGTTTCTTCTGCAATGGACAAAAGTCTGGAACAAAGCACAAATACATAGCCATAAGCCACAAACACAAAAAACAAGAGAAATGGTTACAAAGCACTATGTTTAAAGAAGAAAAGGACCCAACAACTGCAATCCCACTCACTCACCCTGCAGGACTAGCATCCCTCGGCGGATGCTGAGATGTCAAGTGGTGCTGACCACTAGTCACCACTGAATCACAACTCGTATCTTTCGTAGCAAGCGGAGTCTGCATTTGAGTTGAGAAATTATGAAACTTACAGTTCGATTTAAGCCCACATTAGTTTGAAGGGAAAGAGCAAAAAGGGCCTTAAATTCTTACACTGTGACTTTGCCTGCGAAAGTAGCCATTTTCATACACCAGTTGAGAAACTTGCTTCTGTAATCTGTCATTTTCTTCCATTAATAGCTTGTTCATTGCCGTCAGCTTCCTATTCACAGACTGAAGCCTTGACGCCTCTTTCCTCTGTTTCTCCCTGCATCTATTAACCAAAAATTGGAAAGAAAAAAACATAACTTAGCTAATGGTATGGCTATAGATTTAGTTGAAACTTTTAAAAAAAAAAGTGATTTTGATGTTTGTTGAAAAATGGTTTTTGGGATTTGAAGTTGTGTTAGGACATGCATTTTAGTAAAACCAAAAACTTGGAACTTAGAAAAAAATATTGAAGACAAATTTTCAAAAAACTGACCAAATATCATGAAGGAGCTTGTCATTCACACATTATTAGTAGGAACAGAAAAAAGAGAGAAGAAAATGAAAAGGGGAACCACAAGAATAGAACTTTTTTATGCAGATAACTTCAAATGCAATTTTAAAAAGTAAGTGAATAAGATTTGTGCAAGAAGTGAACCCAAGATTGGATTTTTTTTGTAACAAAAGCTAGCTTTGAAGTGCAATTTTGCATAGCAGTAAGATTTAACAAGAGAATAGAAGACATTTATAGTACCTTCGATTCTGGAACCAAACTTTGATTTGCTTAGGTTCAATGTTAGAGAGGATAGGACATTCTCTGATAAGCTGCTGACGGCGCATTGAACTTGGTTTAGGACAATCATGATAAAGCCTCTCAAGAGCTTCAACCTGCTCAGGTGTATACCGGACATACTTTCCGTTATCCAACACCGACTTACCATCCTTGCAGGAAGCCATTTGTCTTAAATCTTACAAACTGAAATGCTTTGCCCTTTATGAAAGAAAACAAACAAGCTCTGTTACTCTGCTTCTTCTTCACTTTTGTCTTCACAACAATTCAACTTTTTTTAGCATTATTCTTCTTGGGAGCTCTGAACAAAATGAGAATGTCTTGAAGTGACCTTTTCTTGGTAATACTAAAAGAGAAAACCAATTTACCAAACTGAAACGGCACTAGACAACTTGTATCTTTCGATTTCAGAGCTTCCAATAAACTACTAAAAATACACACTTTCCTTACTTATCTTTCACCATTACCAAAAAAAAAAAAAAAACAGAAGAATCCAAGTATTCCTCAAGAACCCAAAAACATTATCTTTTAACAACATGCCATACATTTCCTTTGAATCTTGAAACAAGATAAAAAGTGTGAAAAACACTAAAAGATCCAAGCTTTAGACTTCAGAAGATAAAAACAAAAGAAACCCAGAAACAGATCTTCTTCATGTACCCAAAAATTGAAGCATCTTTAAGTGTTTCAGCAAAAAGTAAACCAACCCCATGAACCCCCTACAAAATTTTCAAAGACTACAGAGGAAGATCTTGTAGACATGATGAGATATTATCAGAATACGGATCTTGGACTGGTTAACAATGAATGAAATTGAGTTGAAAGGGGTGTAAATGCAAGAGAGAAAAAAAGATATAAACCCCGGATTTGAGAGCGACCCAGAGAGAGAAAAAAAGTCTTTTTATTTGGATTTGGGAAAGTGGGTATCTTCACAAGTGAGTAGCCATTGTATATCAATGGTCCCTCTGTCAACTTCTTTCGGCTTTAGGTACAGTGGGGGGTGGGGGTGGGGGAGGATATTCTCACTTCTTTTTACTACTCTTTTCAGGCCAATCACCTATACTACACAACTGCTACTAATACTACTCTGCTGACCTCTGTTCGTCGCACCAGATTTAGAATACTTTTGATTAAGACATTTTATGACCACTATGCCCTTCGTGAATTTTTTTTTTAAAAAAATTGTTTATATTATTTTTATTTTAAGTTGTTGAACTTTTACTCACTCCATTAAAATGTCTTACATTTCATTTTGCTTATATTTAATACTTACGAAAGAATGACCTAGTTTTTTTTTTAGTCTGTTTCAAAAAGAATGATCCCTTTCATTTTATGATAACACTTTAATTTTAACTTTCAACGTAACATATTAAAGGCCACAAGATTAAAGGGCATTTTGGTACATTTGAGATTTGACATAACTTTAATTTAGAATCACAAGATTAAAAATATTCTTTCTTTTCTTAAACTATGTTTCAAGTCAAACTACGTCATTCTTTTTTAAACGGAGGAAGTAAGTTTTAAAATTTCATCATTCTACCCGGCGAGTTTAAGATCACTATGTTTAAAGGAGACTACACAAAATTTAAAGGTCTTTCTTTTATTTTTTTTAAATTTGTATTTAGTTAAACCAAGACGTTTTAAATTGTGACAAAGAAAATATATTTTTCACGTATGCAAATTAGATTAATGAGATTGATGGTTCAATTTATCGGAAGCAGTTTTTCTACCTCTCAACTTGTGATAAGATTTGTGTACAGACTTCACCTTTCAAACCTTATTTGTGGAAATACAAAGAACATGTTGTCGTTGTTATATACAGATAATGTTTAAGCTTTTATGGTAAGATAGTTCTTTTTTTTTAATGTCAATACACGTGAAGTTTTTCTCAACATATGGTAAGTTTCGTTTTGAAATAGCTAATGATGTCTGTGTCAGAGTAGTTCACGTCTTTGACATGTAGTTTTTCTCCTGATCTTGCATGAACGTAGGATGTTTTGTGTGTCATATCTTCCTTTATCAGACGTTTTTGTCTGTCATCATTTATACGTGTTTTTATTGAGTGTTTTTTTTGTCGTGATCTATTTAAAATTATTATTATGACATTGAATTGTTTGAACATTCTTTAAGTTTCATATTTAAAAATTACTTACAAAAAATTCTACATACTTTACTGTTCACAAGCTCTATTTATCAAACAAATAAGATATCGTTACAGTAAAATCACATTAAATTTATCATTTTATTTCAAATAGGAAGAGACCTCTCACTGTCTCATGTTAATTAAAGATATCGAGTTTAAAATTTTTTAAAAAAAATTAGCCTAGTATTTTCATTTTAATGAATCTCACGTGATATAAATATAAAGGAAAGGAAATGTGAAAATATATAATTATTAAAAAAAAAAGAATAAAAGAGGGGCAAAAGAGGAAAAAGGAAGTAAGATATGGAAAGGAAAGAAAAGAAAAGGAGAGGCATGGGAAGTATGCGTGGGGCAGAGAGGACAAAATGATGAGAATTTTTGCATGCGCCTCGATACTCTCATTCTCTCTTTATTTCTTTCTATTTGTTGCTACGCATAGCCACTACTTTACGTATACCCTTTTATTTTTTTCGATAAATTATTATTCACTTCTGCCTTGTACTTGTACAAAACCAACTTTTCTACTCAAGTGCTCCTATGTTACAAAGTTTTACTTCCACCGTTTCAAAAAGAATGATCTAATTTAATTTAAATCAGAGTTTAATAAATGAAATTTTTCTTTTTTAATTTTGTGATTCTAAATTTAAATTATATTAAATGTATCAAAATATCTTTTGATCTTGTGGTCTTAAACATGTCACGTAGAAAATTAAAGTTAAAGTGTTATCAAAAAATGAAATAGGTCATTCTTTTTTAAACAAACTAAAAAGAAACTAGGTCATTCTTTTTGAAACATATGAAATAATTTGATATTGAATTAAAAATTGATTTTTTTTTATAATTTTTATAATTTTAAATTAAAGATATGCCGATCTTATGATTATAAATTAGTTATGTGAGAAATTAAAAATTATAAAAAGAGGTACACACTTTACTAAAAGAAGAAAAAAATTAAACAAATGAATCAAAACAAAAAAAAATTATAATAATATATGAATTTAACAATGCTGGCTTATATAGGATCGGAAGTAGAGTTGAGAGAATATAAAACTCTGGTTCCGTACAAAATAAATAGAAGAAAATGTCATTTTCAAGTATTTTTTTTATGTGTATAAATGACAGATTTATCTAATGAATTCGCTATTTGAATTTAAGGAAAAGTCACACCATCATTGTAATTTTTTTCTTGTTTTCTTGAAATATAAATGTTTTTAATAAGTACTATTTTTTTGGTTTCCGTATTTAGTTATTCTTTGTCTCGATATTAATAAATTGAAGACTCATTATCCACACGTACAACACACTAAAATCCATAATTTAATTATTAAAAAAAATAATTTAAAAAAGAATTATTATGGTTATTATATATTTTTTCCAATAAGTAAATCACTTAATCAAATTATAATAATAAATATTACTATTTCTTTTTTCAATATACCGCCTTATTATTTCGACCCCAAATGGACATGCAAGATACGACATAAAAGTGAGAGAAGTAAGATTGACATGGACAAGAATCATGTCACTCACTAAACAACACATATGTATGACAATTACGACAAATTATTACTACTTATTAGATGGTGGATCCGACTTGTACCTCCTCCTAACATGATGCATAAATTTCTGATTTTCATATCATACTTATCTTCATTAATTAATCCTATCTTATATCTTTACGCCCGTGCCAACAGTAATAACTGATGTAATGGTTATAGATACGTGAAATGAATGTAAAGGAACAAAGATAAAGGAAAATGAAGCTATAGTGAAAGAATTTTAGTAGTATATAACTAATGAAAAATGTAAAAGTGAGGTTTAGGCTATTTGAGAGAAAAGAGGTCTGTGTTAACTCCCATCTTCCTTTGTGTATTTGTTTCTCTGCTTAGATGATAGCCCTTCGTGTCCAAAATTTTGAATGAAAAGAGAAGAGATCACCACCAGCATTTTCCTGTGGATTTAACGTCGAAGTGTCATTCAAAAATAGCAAAGAAAAAGCAAAAACCGTAGAGAGATAATAATAATAATAATGCAGTAGAAGGAAGGGTTGGACCATACGAGCCTATTGTATGCAACCTTATCCTGCATTTTTGTTTCCACGGCTCAAACTTTTGACCTCCTGATCACATAGCAATAACAATAACTTTACCTGTTATTCCAAGGCTTCCGTAATGTAGTAGAAAGTATAATTTACAGACCTTTAGAAACCGGGAATTTAAATCAAATTTCATGCTATCAAGTCTTTGTTTTCTACTTTTTGTTCAGAAAGTTGACCACATAAGTAAGTTAATTATGGTGAAATACCTGTTTGAACTCTACAGCCAGCCAAATAATCTTCTTGACCTTTTAAACACATAGAAAAATAAAAATTCATAAGATAATCTCATAATTAAGCACACAAATCAAAGATTAAGAGGCTAGTAAATCTATTGAAATAAAAAGTACCTGCAGTTTTCCACAATCCCCAATTGATAATTCTTCCATCCATAGCCACATGATTAGCAGGAATATAATGCTGCCCAAATAGATGATCACTACTACTACTACAACAACAACATCTATAGGAGAAAGAAAAAGTAAGCGAGAACTTGTATCTTCTTAAAATATAACAATAACTACAACAAAATATGACGACAATCAAACAAAGTAGTGGCGGAGCCAGGAATTCCATAAAGGGTGTCCAGTAATAGCACAATAAATTCGAACACACGAACACTTCCTCATTCCAAGGAGGTGAAACCACTGGACTATAATAGCTTGTTATGTTAAGGGTGTCCAAAATATGTTATTTACACATTTCATGTATCATTTTACTTTTATATACAATATTTTTTTCGACGAAGGGTGTCCCTATGGCTACACCACTGAATCAAAGTATAAGAAACGTCGTCAAATAGTAACAAAAAATCAAATAACAAGAAACTAAGTAAGTAGTATTATGATTACTGGTACGAAAGAATAATTAAGTGAAACAACATTCAACTACCTAACTAACCTTTTATCGATCCTAATTCGATATGCTTGGTTAGGTGAAAGTATGTCATGTCCTATTTAACCTAGCTGTCAAAAGCCAAAAAGAGGAAATCAACTATTCAATGAGGAAGTATGAAATGGAAGCAAAAGGAAAGACGATAAGTACATTACCTCAGCTGAAACTGCTACAACATCAAACCCAGTGATCACAGCTCAATTGGGAGATAGATTTATCACTTTTTGTTGCATGCTCTGTCTTGTTAACTTTAATGATCTTTTGTTTGATGTCAAACAGAGGCAATAAATGATAAGATACTCTCAGTTTAATATGGAGAGAGATCAAGTTTGTGTTGCAACAGTTGTTTGGTTCTTTTCACAAAATCTAAAAGGGATTTCAAGAAATGCAACACTTGCACGAACGAACAATTTGATACGGAACAAGAAATATTGTTATGATTTAGCTAATTATGTTACTAGTCTAATTAGTTAGTTAGTTAGTCTATTCAATTAATTAGTTAGAATAGTAAGTCAGCTGAATTCTGTTATTCTGTTATTGGCAGCTCATTAGTTAGTTAGATATTTTGATTCCTTTTTGTATAAATACATTGTTTCCTCATAATGAAAATCAGTTGGTTGATTCTCTCCATACTCTCTTCTTCCCTGATTTCTCTCTACTGCATTCATGGATAATCAGCCATGGTTATGAGCTGATTTTGACATGGTATCAGAGCAAGAGGTATCTCGATTCATCCTTGCCTTTATGTTTTTTTTTCGATCTCAGAATTGCTAGCTAGATTGAGTTCTAGATCTGTTTCGTTTCAATTCATTTTTGTTGTGTTTCATCACTGGGTCAAATCGTACTCTGTGTATTTCTCTGATCTGAGTTTACTATGGTGATTGAGAGTGGTGAGAATTCTGTGAGTAATAATGGTGTTAACAGTAATGATCTCGGTTCTCCACTGTATATGCATCCTTCGGATAATCCAGGTGCTTCGTTGGTTCAAACTCCTTTTGATGGAGTAGGTTATAGATCGTGGAGACGCAGTGTTCTTAGAGTTTTGTCAGTTAAGAACAAGCTGGGTTTCATCAATGGTGATTGTAAGAGGCCTGATCTAGGAACACCACAGTTTCGTCAATGGGAAAGGTGTGATGATATGGTTACTTCCTGGATTCTTAATTCTCTAGCTAAGGAAATTGCAGAAAGTGTAGAATATGTTTTTGATTCATGTGAGTTGTGGAAAGAATTGGAAGACCGATATGATCAGACTAATGGTGCAAAGTTGTATCAAGTTCAGCGTGAAATCAATGAATTATCACAGGGAACTTTGGACATTACTGCCTACTACACTAGGATGAAAAAGCTATGGGAAGAATTGAGCACATTACACATCAAAACTCAATGTAATTGTAATTGCACTTGTGGAGCTAAGGATAATATGTTCAAAGTGGAGCAAGATAGAAGGTTGATACAGTTCCTTATGGGGTTGAACGAGGTCTATACTGTAGTTCGAGGGAATATCCTCATGATGAACCCATTACCTTCCTTAGCACAAACCTTTTCTCTGTTAGTACAGGATGAGAAACAGAGAGAAATTAAACCCAGTGCTCAAATGTTCATGGAGTCTGCATTGTTGAATGCAAGCAGTTCAGGGAAGAAAAGCATGGAGTCTGCTGCTTTTAATACAAATGGTTCAGTAGGAGCAGGTTTTTCTAGGTCACCAAGACCAAACCATTCTCCTACAGGGAACACTAATACCAATTTCAAGACTAACTACTCTCAAACCAGTTCTTATAATGGTAACAGGCCCCGTATGATATGTGATTATTGCAAGAGGCCTGGACACATTAGGGAAAAATGCTACAAACTACATGGTTATCCACAGTCAAACAATAATCCACAGGGGAACAATTATCAGAATTTCAACCAAAATGGGTACAGGGACAATAGTCAGAATTCTAGGTTCAACAGAGGAAAAGGCCTTATGGCTGATGTTCATGGCTGTTCAGGAGAGGAGAATACTGGAAGAGCTCATACAGACACAGGTCATCAACTAACAAGAGAACAATATGTTCAATATGTGGAATTGCTACAACAGTTCCAAACTGAGAAGGATAATGCTAAACACATGGACAATGGTAGTGTGAATTTTATAGGTATGATAGTATGTACTTCTTCAATTATTTTTGGGAAATTGTCTTGCAGATGTTCCCACAGTAAAACTGACTCTTGGATCCTTGACTCAGGAGCCTCTCACCATATGACCTTTAACCTGACATTTCTAACAAACATTACCTACCTTCCATGCCCCTTGTTAATTTCTTTACCAAATGGTTATAAGGTGAAAGTTGTGAAAATTGGTAGTGTGATACTTGCACCAGACATTGTTTTACATGAAGTGTTGTATGTGCCCTCATTTAAGTATAATCTCATTTCTATTCATTGTCTTTCAAAATCCATGCCTAAAAGTGCTGTGTATTTTTCTGAATCTTCATGCATTCTGCAGGCCCCTTCAATGAAGAGGCCTCTGGTAATTGGTGAAGCAAAGGATGGGCTTTATTTTCTGTGTTCTAAATGTCTGATGAAGCCTGTTCATTCTGGTGCTGCCTGTACTGCTTCTGCTGCTTCCAACTCTGATCACTTGTCGAGACAAGATGTTTTGAATTCTAAACTTGTATCTTTTCCTATTCACTCATGTAACCACAATACACAGCCTTATGTCTGTCATTCACTCAATAAAACTTCTGATATTTCTGCTTCTTTTATGACTCATACCTGCAATGATATCAACAATAGTGATAAAATATCTATGCTTATCATGTGTCAGCATGTGATAGGGACCCCATAGGTCTATGTGTAACAATTGAAATATTTTGGTAGATCCTAGTACCCACAGTTCTACCAAAATACTTCAATTGTTACACATAGACCTATGGGGTCCCTACCACATGCTGACATATGATAAGCATAGGTATTTTATCACTATTGTTGATGACTATAGTAGATGCACATGGACCCAATTATTGACATGTAAGAGTAACACCTTAGGAGTCATCAAAAGTTTCTTATCCATGATTGAGAACCAATTCAATACCTGTGTTCAGACCATAAGAACTGACAATGGACTTGAGTTTGTGAATACAAAAACATCAACCTTCCTTAAGGGAAAAGGAATTCTACATGAGAGAACTTGTCCTTATACAACCCCAACAAAATGGGGGTGGTAGAAAGAAAACACAAGTATTTGTTAGAAACTGCCAGAGCCTTACTTTTCCAATCAAAGTTACCTCTTAAGTATTGGGGTGAGTGTGTGTTGTGTGCCACATACATCATTAATAGACTTCCTACCTCCCATGTAAAGGGTAAATCCCCATATGAGTTATTATATGATAGCAAACCAACATACTCACACATGAAATCCTTTGGTAGTTTATGCTATCCTACTTTTCCAAAAAACCATAGGGACAAATTCCAAGCAAGGACCATACCCTATATTTTCATAGGCTATCCCTTTGGGACAAAAAGTTACAAAGTTCTTAGTCTGGCCACAAGAAAAATACACATCTCCAGGGATGTAGTCTTTAAAGAGACTATCTTTCCTTTTGTTGTTTTACCTGATGTATCTTCTTTTCCTTCAGTCTTGCATTATATGCCTTTCATAGACACTTTCCATGATAACACTGCCTTACAATCTGTACAACATGTGGAAAATAATGTAGTTGGTGCAAGTAGCAGTCCACTCCACAATTCACCTAATAATGTACCATCTGCCACCTATCACTCCCCTAATTCTGTCCAACGATCTGAACAACAATCTGAACCTATAATTTCTAACAGACCACCTAGATCACATCGATTACCTGCATACCTACATGATTTATGTTTTGCCTTAACAATATAACACATCAGTTACAGAACTCACATATTCCCTCAACACTGCATTCTCACAACACCAACATATACCATTTGAGATCTTAGCATTTGAGAGTCAGACACTTGTGAGGAATATCAGTAATGATGATGAACCTTCTTCATATGCGGAAACTGCTATAAACCTTGCCTGGCAGCAGGCTATGACACAAGAATTTAAAGCATTACACTTAAATCATACTTAGGATCTTGTTAGTTTACCTAGTGGCAAGAAGGCCATAGGATGTAGATGGGTGTATAAAGTGAAGTATAAAGCTGATGGAACTATTGAAAGATTTAAAACAAGACTT